GTTCTGATTTCGCTCGTGGCGCTGCCCGGGTACTATGTCGCGTGCTTCTTCATCAACAAGATGGGCCACAAGCGCATCATGCTCCAGGGCTGCACGGTCATGACGGTCGTCTTCCTCATCCTCGGCATTTGGTGGGACGAGATCAAAAAGTCCAGCGCCGGCTTCATCGTGCTCTTTGGCTTGACGCTCTTCTTTGCCAACTTTGGCCCCAACATGTCGACGTTCGTGATGCCGACGGAGATGTACCCGACGGCCATCCGCAGCTCGTGCCACGGCTTCTCGGCGGCCATGGGCAAGGCCGGCGCGTCCATCGGCTCGTACGGCTTCTCGCTCTGGGTCGACAACCCGAGCTTTGGCTACGTCGGCACGTGGTTTACGTTTGCCGGCATCTCGGTGCTCACGATCGTCCTCACGGTCTTTTGCATGTTTGACAACAACGACGAGGCGAGCGTCATGGACAACGACTTCAAGGCCAAGCTCGCGATGGAAGACGACGACGTGCGCAAGTCGTTTGTGAGCCAGATGGACGAGCCGCTCGACCACTACGTCGAGAACAAGGCGTAGCGTGCAATATAATGTGAATAGAAGTAGAGTCCATGTGAAGCGAAATAGGGGTGGTGTGTTACTGTACGCGTACATTTTCATATCTAGTCGGTTTGGCATCCTAAATGATGTGTACCAGTAGTCAAGGATATATAATAAATGCAGTAGTGGTCCATCATCAAGATTTTCAACGAGCTAAGAAATACGGTCGCGGCGTGCTTGGTGCCCAGTCGCGTGCATGAACGGCCCGTCTAGAGTAGTGGTGAGGTACCACAAAGGTGCGGGCTCGACGAGCTCTCGGAAAAAGCCGTCGTAGGATGCTGGAAAGGGGCTGCTGGACGATCGCTAGACAGGCGGAGAAGAGAGTGATGGGCGCGAATGTATGTCGTCAGCCTCGAATCTTTCAAATCTTTTGCGAGCGGACGAGGCGGCGCGATGTTCAATTGGCTCTTTGGATCGGTCGACCCGACTGCCGTACAGCCCCGCGTTTCACGTTGTTTGTTGAAAGTGTTTTAGTTGCTCGTGAGTGCGGCTCGGGCCGGGGATACGAAAGAGGCGAGTGCGCTTCTGCGTGCTGGCGCCGACCTCCACGGCGCCAACAAGGTCGGCGGAAAGGCGATGGCCCACGACAACGGATGTCATTGTAGTTTGGTAACACGGCGCTGCACGAGGCCGCGTACTGGGGCCATGTGGATATGGTGGCGCTGCTCCTTGCGTCCGGCGCACGTGTCGACTGCGAGAACGAGGTACTCGACTCTTTGGATCCGCGCTCTAGCAAAGGAATCGATTCGCGTATCATCGATGTCCATAGATTGGCTGGACGCCGTTGCATGAAGCGGGACGGATGGGCCATACAGCAGTCGTGGTCTCTCTCCTCGCTGCGTCTGCGCGCATCGACCACACGGACAAGGTGCGGCCCGGCTTCTTAGTCTGGAGCACCAATAAGAAAGCAGGACGGCTGGACGCCGCTGCATCAAGCCGCTTGGTACGGACACGCAAGCACTATGTCGGCGCTTCTCGCCGAGTCGGGAGATGCCACCTGTGTGCGCGACCAGGTACTTTACGCCGGCAGATTTCTTGTTGGTGGCCGAAGTAGACCATGTTATAGAAAGGCAGAAGCGTCCTATGTCTCGCCCGCCTCCGGCACCACCCACGTGTGGTCGACATCATTGAGACGGCACTTACAAGAGAGGTGCGCAGCCAGTAGTACATCGCCATGCTAAGCGCGCCGTAGCTTGGTCAAGCGATCGAAAACGACGACGCGACACGCGTGCGCCAGCTCCTCGCCGCGGGTGCGTCGACCACAAGGGTTACCGAGGTACGCGTTAGCACTGACAGCAGCATCAAGAGTGTTTTGCGTAGTCGGGCCATTTGCCGGTTGTGCTGGCGCTTCGCCACTGGTCCTGCCTCGTTCAGCTCCTGAAACATCCCAGCATCGACGTCGACTACGTATCCGAGGTACTTTGTTTCTATCAACGAGGGGTCTCAGAGGCGGCGTGGCAGAAAGACGCGATGACAGCGTTGCTGCATGCCGCCTCCATCGGCTGCAATGCCAGTGTCGGCCTCTTGCTGCTCGCTTCTGCCAACGTGAATGCCGTCGACGCCGCGGTTTGGATTTCTTACAAAAAATACAAGATCTTAGTGGTCGGCGTAGACGGGCCGCACGGCCCTCAGCATGGCGGCGGCCAACGGCGATGTCGCTATGGTCGACTTGCTTCTCGCAGATGGAGCGAATGTCGACTATAAAGATGAGGTACGTTTATACACCCTAAACCTCCCCCCAAAGAGTGTGTCTAGAAGGGTCATTCACCTCTTATGGCGGCCAGCGAGGCGGGGCACGCGCCCGTCGTGCACCGGCTCCTCGCTGCCACCACGAATCTGGTACGTGGAGCACGCTCCTCTGTACTCGCATCAACACGCGTCGGTAGTGTCGGGACGCAGCGCTACAGGTGGCAATTGCCCATGGCCACCGCGACGTCGCCGCCATCCTCTTTTCACCGTTGCCCGTGCACTCAGTAGACACATCAACATGTCGCCTCGTTGTTTTCAGCTCATTGGCGCGACTAGGTCACAGAGGCAGGACCATTGATCGATCTTTCGTCCGCGACGCTGCTTGGGGATGGGAGCTACGGCGTCGTGTATCGAGCATCCTTTCAAGGTGCCGTCGTCGCCGTCAAGGTTCCCAAGGCCCACGGCCTCGCCTCGTTTCACTGCGAAGTGGCCGCCATGACCAAGTACTCGCCACTCTAAGCGACCTGGCGCTGCATTCAAGTAGGTGTCGGTCCCCGTATGTGCTGCCGTTGCTGGCGGTTGTCCATCCGGCATCGCCGACGCCGCAGATGGTGCTGCCCTACATGGACGGCGGCAGCCTGCGCGCGCATCTCAGGACGTCGGCGGTCCCGATCTCGCAGTGGCGCGTGGCGTGGGTCGTCGCCAACGCCCTTCTCGATCTTCGCACGACGCAGATACTGCACCGCGACGTCAAGTCGGACAACATCTTTCTGAGTGTGGACGGCCGCGTGCTCCTAGGCGACCTTGGCGTGGCGAGAGAGGTGCTGGATGCGAGCACCACCTTGACAAATGGCGTTGGCACGCCCTACTGGATCGCGCCCGAGGTGTTTACGGGCGGTCACTACGACGCAGCAGCCGACGTCTACTCGTTTGGAATCGTACTCACCGAGCTCAGTACGCGCAAGACGCCGTACTGGGACGCGCCGCGCAAAGGGTTCGCGCTCATCGATGGAGTTCGGGCGGGCGACCTGCGGCCAACGCTCGCACTCGACTGCGCCGACTGGTTCCGAGACCTCGCACACCGCTGCTTGCGCCACGATCCCACGCTACGCCCGTCGGCGGGCGATATTGTATCGGCGCTCGTGCAACACCGGAACGCCTCGGTACTTATCATCTACGATTGTACTAGCCCCTCTTAGCGTTTTGAGCAGATCACAACACCTATGGTTGCAGCCTCGGATGCCTGGTAGAATCAAGCCGTACGGAGGTTCGGGCAGCCATGTACAGGTACACAATCTGTCATAACGTTTTACAATCTGTGGGGCGGTTGTGAGCACACCAATCGATCCTTGGACGCACTTGACGGCGAGCGTGGCCTGGACGACCACCGTAGTACCGCTACTAGTAGTAGCAGGACGGACGCGTGCGATGGCTGGCGTGTAAAAGACTTGGACAGTGCGCCATCTTTGTGCTGAGGAAAGGGGCCTTCAGAGGAAAGGGTACTAGATTTGATCGCATTTGGTTTGAATGTCGACCACCTTGAGCCAGATCCAAGAGTCCTTGACGTTGTATGCGAGGGAATGTCGATACGCCTGTCACATCGGCTCCCACGCTCCAGAGTGGGTCGTCGTCGCCGCAGATTCGCTCCAAGGATTCCACTTTGCACTCGCTACAAATGATATGGACTTGGAGACAGATGGTCATATGGGAATCTCCAGTCATCGCCATCTGGCGCACCCAAAGGACGCGTCGCAATGCAGGTTAATCAGAAAAACGCGTTGAACCCACTCGAGCCCCGTGCCAAGTCCTGGGCGATGGCCACGGCAAGGCCCCAGACGGGGCGTTCAATAACCATCTACGATGCAATACCTGTGTGTTAGTGCGCAAGACTTTATAGTGGACAGACCACAAGCCTGTTGGACGTTGTTGCCAGGGTTCTACGGCGATGGACCCATCGAGTTTAACGCGTTGAAGACAAGGTGGCGGGTCACCTCGACGCCTGCGACGTTCAGCCGACCGCGATGCTGGCTGTATCGGCAGTCGAACGCGGCGGTAGTATCTACTGCGTCGTCATAGACGCGCAGAGTCTGCGCCTTTTCCTCGCGAAAATACCTTTCCTCACGAGGGCCCTTTTCCTCAAACAAACTCACTTTCCCCTCCACCCACGGCGATGATCAACAAGTTCTTCCTCCGCGGCCTCGGCTTCTTCAACGACGCGTACGACCTCTCGGTGGTCAATATTGTCAACATTATCCTCAAGCACCAATACAAGGACGAGTACACGGCCGATATGAAGTCGAATGTCTCGACCGCCGCGCTCATCGGCGCCGTCCTCGGCCAGCTCGCGTTCGGCTTCCTCGGCGACATGTATGGCCGCAAGAACTGCATGATTGCGACCTGCGCCATCTTGATCATCGGTGGCATCCTCACGGCCGCGGCGTACGGCGGCTCGGACCATGGCACGCTCTGGTTCCTCGTCATTGCGCGCGGTGTCCTCGGTTTCGGTATCGGCGGCGAGTACCCGCTGGCCGCGTCGTCGTCGTCGGAAGATGCCACGTCGCCCGCCGACCGCAACCGCCGCGTATCGCTGACGTTCTCGCTGCAAGGTGTCGGCTTCCTCGTCGCTGGTGTGCTTGGCTTGATCATGGTCAACGCGTTGGACGAGACGACGCAGAACCTCGAGATCATGTGGCGCGTGCTCTTTGGCTTTGGCGTCCTCCCGGCCTTGTTTCTTGTCTACTACCGCATCACGGCCGAAGAGACGCACGTGTACAAGACGATGCTCGCAGACGAGGTGCACATGAAGAAGATCCGCTGGTCGTTCATCTTCCGCCACTACTGGAAGAGCCTCCTCGGCACGGCCGGCACGTGGTTTCTCTTCGACATTGTGTTTTACGCCCAGAACCTCTTCACGGCCTCGATTCTGACGGTCGTCGGTGCTGAGAGCACCCTTCGCACCACTGCGCTCCAGAACGTTCTGATCTCGCTCGTGGCGCTGCCCGGGTACTACGTCGCGTGCTTCTTCATCAACAAGATGGGCCGCAAGCGCATCATGCTCCAGGGCTGCGCGGTCATGACGGTCGTCTTCCTCATCCT